TCGCCCGGCCCTCCCGCTGCTGGCGGCGCCCGCCGCCGAGTGGGACGGGTTAGTTCGATGTGCTCGTCACTCTTTTCGGGGTGGTTTAAGAAAGGAAGGGAGGTGTCCTGCACAGGCGCCTGCAGCCTGCTTTCTCTTCACAGCTGGCGGTTTCCTAAAGCACACAGCTCTGCTTAAAACGTACGTGAGGGCCGCGCTGGCATTGCGTGTACTTTTTTGCAGTCCCATCATCTGGAGTGGGAAATTTGGGAATTGCAGAGACGTTTACAGTCTCTTTGTTTTCCACGTTTCCTTTTTCTTGACATCCAGGTAGCACAAACAGAGTAATGGGGGCTTGGGTTAGCAGCCATTGAAAATAATGTATTTTCAAGTGCTAGATAAATAATTTATGTCATGGGTAGACAGGGTGATGTTGTAATTGAGGGCCAGATCCTGACAAATAATGAACATTGCACCAGGTGCTGTATCCTTTGTATTTCTTGTTAAGAAAGGTTGTGGTCTAGTTGTAATAGTTACTGAGTACTTGTATCTGGTGCTGCAGTGATGTCTCCTGTCGATAAACACACTGAAACAGCTGTATGTATGACACATCCTCTTTGATGGGGGAGAAAAAGTAAAGCTGGTCAGATTCTCTGAGAGCATTTTTCTGTTCTCTTTAAGACCCTGTGAGGGAGGCATTCAAGGGTGGGGAAGGCGCTTTTTGAAGCACATTATAACCTCCTGAAGCCACATTGTTGGGCCATTGAGCAGGAACAGTTGCTTCAGCTGGACTCTGGATCTGGGTCTGCAAACACTAGAGTTAAGCTTTTGTGGAGCAGTCCATTTCCCCAAGGAAGAGGTGGCCCATGGAAGTAGCCTACAAGTGGATTCAAGTTGCTGGTTGCCCACTGGACCGTACTCCTAAGGAAATGTATGTCAAAACTGCAGTACTGTGTATGGCTCTGGGCTCCCCAGTACAAGATGGACAATGCCGTACTGGAGCAAGTCCAGTGAAGGGCCACAAAGATGATTAAGGGTGTCTGATATATGAGGCAAGGCTGAGAGAGCTGGGACTCAGCCTGGAGAAGAGAAAGGTCAGTGGGATCTTATAAATGTGTATATAATACCTGATCAGAGAGAATTAAGAAGCCAGACTTTTTTCAGTATTATACAGGGAAAGCACAAGAGGTAAAGAGCACAAAATGGTACATAATTTTTTTAATTTAAACAGAAGAAAAATTATTTGCTGCTATGGCAATTGAACATTGGAACAGGTATCCTAGAGAGGTTGTGGCATCTCCATCCTCAGAGATAATCAAAACCCAATTGGAAATGATCCTGAGCAACGTGTTCTAGTTGACCCTGCTGTGAGTAAGGGGGTTGGACTAGCCAATCTCCAGGTGTCCCTTCCAACCTCAGCTATTCTGTGTGTTTCTGATTTTCTACTGTAGTTGAAGAAATGTGTCTTTATTTTACTTAAGAAAAGTTAATTTTCCCCCAGTGCTTTGTTACTTTTACTATTAAGTTGCTATAAATCAGTGAAAGTTTTTATTGTTCATTTCATCTGTCAGTACTAACATTTAGTTTGCTCTGCAGATGTCCTGTAGCATGGCAGGTGAAGAAGACTTCTTTTTGGAAGAAAAGAGATTCAAGCAATACTGTGAAGAATTTATTAAACATTCACAGCAGATAGGAGATGGTTGGGAGTGGAGAACTAGCAAGGTAAAATAATCATAGTGGTAATTTTTATGTACCCTTGCTGGCCTTTTTGAGCTGCTGACAACCACCACAAGCTGGAACATCCTTTAAGGAGCATTTACAATGTATGAAATAAATAGTATTTTACACAGCTGGTTCAAGAACAAAATAACGCATAGATGGTTTACATGAGGTTTTAAGCCAGTACATGGATTGAGTAGGGTTCATGAATACAGAAACAACTGGGATGGCCTAGTGCAGCTTGTTGTGTAACAAAGGGGTGGGATTACCTGAGATGATTTCTGTTTTGATCAGAAGATGTCTTTTAAGGCATTACGCAGCCTTCATTTTCAGAATTCCCAATGATGGGGAAATGGTCACAGCTCTCAAAAAGCCTTTTGATTGGTTGGCTATGCTAAAAATTGAATTAAAAAAAACCCCAAACCAACAGCTGTTACTTTTAATCCTAACTGCCTAGTTTCGTCTTCCAGCCGTTGGTAGCTGCACCTTGTCTGTTAAGCTGAGGACACTTCTTTTATCAGAACTCTCCGTGTTTTGATACTTTAGATTCAGATCAATTCATCCCTTAACCTTGTCAGTGTAAAAGTAAGACATGTTGAGCTCCCTGACTATTTGATGTGTTTTCCAATATTTTAATCATTCTTGTGGATCTCCTCTGAATCCTTTCCAGTATAGAAAAATCCTTTCTCAGCTGTGGATAGAACTAGACAATGAATGTTGTATCACTGTGAAACTCAACCTTTCGTACTCTCAGCAAATGCTTGTGGTTATATATCCAAGGATCACTTTAACCCTTTAAGCTGAAATAGCATGTAATCTTTCTTTAGATGTGTGACTTAATATTTTGTATTAAAATACATGTTAGTTACATACAGCAACCAGAAGAATCTGTCTGTATTAGTGATCAATCCTCATTATTTGCTGCTTCCCCATAACTTACAAACCTCACTAATAATAATTACATATTGTTTCTAGGTCATTAATCAAAACTTTAAATAGTGCAGGGCCAAGACTAGTCCCACAGGACCCCATTAGAATCACTTCTTTTATGATAATCCGTCATTTTTTAATTTACATTTGAGATACACAAATTAATCATTTTTTCATCCTTTAGTGTGTGTCAGAGTATTTTTTGTGTGGGATTATTTTATTTTTTTAATTTCAGCTTGTAGAATCAGCAGTTATCTTATGGAAGTCTGAGCATGCATTATTATGACTTTTATGTTTGTCAATCAAGCATATCTTTTTAAGTTATCCTGACAAAATCTAGTTTTCTTAAAAAATAACTACATTTACTTTATATATGTCTTTATTTTCTGAATTCTATATGATGTCTTCTGTTATTTTGCTTGGGATGATGTCAAGCTAATATATGTATAGTTAGAGGAAGTAGCCAGTATATAAAGATATATTGATACATGCTGACTTTCTCCAAAGTTCTCTGAAACTTCCACAGTGCTCGAAGACTTAAAGAAAACCAGCAGTTCTGACATACTGATTTAAAAATACCCAGTGCGAGCAGCTTCATGCTAATGTCCTGCTTAGCCACTGCTGAAGTGAAAACTTCTTAAGAGTTATGGCTACATAATTTGTATTTGTTCTATAATAACAACAGAAATATTTGGAATACTTTATTTTTGTTATTCTCCATCTAATAATATGTCTACACTGTTCTAGGATTTCTTCTTGCCATGCTTTTTTTTCATGGGTGGGCAATGTAGGTTTTCATATGTTTTCTTGCTTCTCTGACTGGTTTTCGATAGTGGATGGTTTGGGATACTCATTATTACCTACATATTTCTTCTTTCTGCTGTGGAAAATTTACTGGTCTAGATTTTACATTTTTTTTTTTACTTTAATGGTTTTTGTGGTCTCCCATGCTTTCATGAATTTTGGAAAAAACAGTCATACTGGTACAATTTTGAAATGCAAGAAGTCCCACAGTAAATGTATGCTGTCATTTGTACATAGGTAATTGTACATTAGCATTTGTAACACTTTCATCACTGATGAAACAGAATTTCAGTAAGAAGCAGGATCTTGGCCTTAAATGAATTCTTTTTAGAAGTTTTTAACAGAGTGCAAATATTAGCCAAGTGTGACAATGCACCCTTTCTTACAGGCAACCATTTGAAACTTTAGATTTCAGTCCAAGGCTATATTTGTGAGGATTTATTCAACAAAGAAGGATGCTCTGTGCCTCTATTGGGAATTTAATACATGGGTCAAAGTTTGAACTTTCTGTGAAATAAGAAGCTTTGCTGGAAATAGCAGAATGAGATAGATTTTTGTTCTCACATAAAAAAATTTGTAAGAGTTTTTTTTTAAGGGGCCAAGTTGGTGACTGTGATTTCAGTGTGTGATAAAAACCTGGCCATTGAGACCATCCATTTATAGTATGTAGTCTGGGAAGGAAGCTTTTCATTAACAAGATGTCTCATTGTCTTTTTGCTTTTTTTACCAATGTATGTGTTGTGGGTAGTTTGGGGCACTCTTAATTTTGCTGATGTAATGCACTTGGATCCCATTCCTCATTCCATACTCACGTGAATAGACCCATTGATAGCAATAAGACCACACAAGTAAACCAGGCTTGTAGAACTGTATTCTTGTGTCCTATGTTTTCTGTAGAGATTAAATTTAGATGATGAAATACTCATTGTTTTTGTGGAGCTGGTTCTCATGGCATAAGCTTACAGGGCCCAAGTAGAACCCTGTATTTATAGCTGTAAGTGAAATGTTGTAAACTATGTTATTTTTATAATGTTGGTTTTTTTCCCCAGAGGAAAGTTGTAAAAAAGCCAAGAGCACCTCTATTGTAGGACCTGATGGAACTAAACTGAAGTGCTGTTATTAGGGACGGATAGTTAAATCTTGTCTGTGGAGGCTTCCCCCCCCCTTGCTTTCTTCTTTATGTTTGTTTAATATTTAGTTGTGTTAATCTAGCTAATCGTATCAAAGGCTATATCAGTTCACTTTTGCTTATGATACTCACAAGATAGCTGTAGTAGAAATAGACTGACTATCCGCATTAATGGGATCAAAGTCCTTGCCTAAGTATTGATTTATTTGTGGGGCAGAAGTGTACAAAATGTATAACACTTCAGAGAGTACAACAGGAGGGACGCTTCTCTTTCCTGCCACCTCTCTAGCCTCTGACATACAGCTGTCAAATACAGAGACTGCTAACTCCACTTTTCCAGCTATCCATAGGTATTTTTTCATGACACTGAAATACTACAGAATGCAAAGGCTATGGAGCTTGGCTCTTTTCTGCTGAAAGGAAGAATTGGTTCAGGGAGGTGAACACTATATCCAGCCCTTCTCTGGGAAAGCTCATTATGCCTTGGGGCGTTTTAGCTCTGTGGGTGGCTGTAGTACTTTCTTTGCTACTCTTAGCGGGCATAAATACAAATGCAGGTAGCTTTACGCCTGCTGACACTCCCACGAGGCTACGCAAGGGGAGACTTGAGAGTGTTGAGAGTGAACAAAGTGGCTTTTGTATTACCAAGTTAGGCTTAATTTTTCTGTCACTGTTGTCTCTGTTTGCTTGATTCTTCATTGCACAGGATGCAGTTGGTTCTGTAGCCAGGACATCGAGCAAAGTTTGGCAGATTCGTGCTCTTGATGCAATTTAGTGAGAAAATAAGGCATGCAGTAGGATAAGTTATGAGCAAGGTAATTGCCCATAGGGTGATTCATGCTTAAAAATTCATGGACAAAAATACATGTAGAGAGCATTATCATTTTTTTAATGTGTGAAACTTGATAAGAACAAAGTAAACAAGTAGTATGTAGCTGATTTTGGAGGTACATATATTCTACAGTGTCTTTGAAAAGAGAGAACTCATGTCAGAATAAAACCTGTGTTGATTTAAAGGTCAGAATATATGAAGTAAACTGTGTCAGCAAGGATAGATTAATCAAAGAGTTAAATTATAGTTAAATTTGCAGCCTTGTCAAGTAATTTAATGCTACATTAATGAATTTTGTAGAGAGGCTGTTTTGAATAGAATCCTTTTTCATCAGATGTTGCGCATATGCTTTCTGTGTTTGTCTAAAATAAAATATAATGAAACAGCTAATAAAACCCCCATTTATTTGTTTCCTTTGAGAAATAAGTTCTTAACATGGACAACTACTGTTCTTTGTGTTCTGTATACTCTCTCTCTCCCTTTCAGAATGCATGTTTTTCCAGTGATGTTGTTAAACTTTTTCTCTCCTCTTAGTTCTCATTAAAAAAAATATAATGTTTATATATATGTGCAGATAGGTCAGCAAGGGGGGAAAGCCCCTAAAACCTCCTGCCACTCTAAAATTGCACAAGGGCCTTTTACAACAGACAACCGTGTGGCCTGGGAAACACAATGATAAAAAGTGAGCAGGGAGAAGGTACAGCTTTGTCTATTTTCTCTTACATTTGACCCTCAGAGGTGATCAAGAGAAGGGAACAAATTGTGACACTGCACACGTAAGTTCTGAAGTGTTGGTTTGGTGTTTTTTTTCAGGACTTTAAGAAAGTTAGAGGGGGAACAGAGCAAAAAATAAACCAACTTACCAAGAATTGGGAAGTTTATACTGGCATGAATGCATTACTTGAAATTGATAGGTCAAAATCGTTAGTAGCTGCTTATCTCTGTATGACCTTAGTGTTCTGTCTTCCACTTCTTTCATACTCACCCCGATCCCAGGTACCAGTTGTCTTATTCAATTAATAATTATATTAAATTATTTTTTTACTATCTTTAACACCAAGAAGTAGTGTAAACTACCTGTGAGAAGATGCTGAAAAGCAATGCAATCATAATCACGCCTATAAAAAGATATGGAGCTTACGCCTAAATACCATGTTGTTTATTTTCTAGAACAGTGATGGCATTTAGCATTTTGGTTACAGAAGATTTTTTTCTTTCTTGTTTTCTGAACACAGGACCTTGGTGATGGTTATCTTAGTAAAACACACTTCCAAGTAAGAAATAGAAACATCCCACCAGATCTCAAGGAGAAAAACAATGATAACATTGAACAAACGTTATTTACACATGTTGAAGTAAGTACAGATTTTAGATTTTTGTGTTTATAAAATAAATCATGACCAGGGTTTTTTAAAATACTATACTATTAAATTAAGTCCCTTCAGAAAGATTTCAGATCTTAAGTTACCAGTCACTTTTAATTATTCTTACTGCAGTTCGCATTCAGTTGTACAGCTGTATTGTTGATGAAAACTGGGGGGAAATGGAAAGGTTCTGGCATATTTTATGTATATATTTTCCTCATGGAAGGATAATATTTCATTGCACATTGATTTGCTAACATTAAGGAAACTTTTTTTGTGTAAAAAAATTAAGCATCAAGATTTAGTTATCTTAGAGGTAAATATTACTTATATTAATTAAAAAATAAAGAAAACTTAGAGGTTAATATTAATTTGAAGTGACATTTACTGAATAAATAAGTTGTGTGTAGGAATTTTTTACTCAGTGTATACTTTTCTATTGTGGAACTAACTTAAAATACTAAGCAATTTTTTGAAACTGGTGGTGGGAAATAAAATATATTTGGTGTTTTTGAAGGAGAATAAACTTCTTTCTTCCAGAAAATTAAAACTATTCTTTAAACTCCGTGTGAACTGATCGGAATAATTATTTTCTTATTTGATATTCTACATTAGACCTCCAGATTATTGACTAATCAAGTTATAAACAGTAGAAATTCACTCCCTTGTTATGTTACTATAAATACAAAAAGAAATCCTGGGTTCTGATTGACTGAAAACAATGTATTTTATATATTATAAGCCATTGAAGAGATAGACAGGATATATTTTCCAGTTACCTTATTCTGCAACAGATCCTTTTCTTTTTTTCATCAGCGCACTGATTTTTTTTTTTTTTTTTTTTTTTTGTCAGAGACTCTGGTACAGGGTCTGAAATGACTATGCTTTTGCCCTGTTTTTTGAAGGAAATGGCACTTAAAACAATCATGGTGTCTGTTAGTCTGTGATGTAATTGTTTCTAATTTGAGTTCACTCAGGTTTCAGCTGTATTTTAAAGAGGAGTAGATACCAAGAAGTATTTGGTTCTTAAAAGTTTAGCGAAAGCAGATGGCTGGCTAGATGAAAATGACTTTTACTGGCAGGTATTTTATCTTCTGTTTGGCTAGTCAGTACAAGTACAGGACTGGACTAAAGCAGCACCTTGGTCCCTCAGAGTGCCATGAGGAACAGCTAGGGTTCATATAACACAAGTAAGCTGGAAACAAGACATGGTTCTGCTACCAATAAGATGACTCGTTCAATTCACTAAGAAAATTTTACAACCCCATTGCCGATACACCAGCTTTGGTATGAATTGGAATCCATATAATCTTTAGAGTTATTACCTCACATTTGATTGGTAAGTACCAATTATAAGCATAGTATGTAAGTCATCTGCAGGCTAGCTGAGGTGTTTGCAGTTTTCCTTTAATTTAAATTCTAGTATTTCTTGGAATGAAGGCTAATATCAATGCTTCAGAGGTTGTTCCTGAATTGTCACTACGGCAGTGTTTATACTTCAGTCCTGACTTGTAAGAACAGATTACTGCTTACATTCAAAATTGCCTGTAACAGTTGTGACTTTTCTTTATAATGAATCAAGTCTTCGTTACAGAGTTTATTTTAAAGGAACATCTTGTAAAAAGCTATCGAGTCCTTCTGAAAAGTAGTATCAACTGTAGAAAAAGTGTCACAACACAAAAAGGGCTTCAGAGCCTGTAACATACTGAAACAGTTTCTAATATACTGAAATATAATAATAAACAGTCTTTAATATACTGAAATATAATTCCAGGCCAAACTATGGTTTATCAAGGTACTAATAGTAAGAATTACTTCTTGAAATACTGCACAAGATTCCTATGTTTTGAATCATAGAAATGCCTAGGTTGAAAGGGGCCTTGAACATTAGCTGGTCCTCTTTGAGAGGGAGCTTTTGTTCGTGTTGCGTAATAGCAGTAGAGACGAAGAGTGAAGCTAGAGAAAGGTCTTAGGAAATTATGTAGGTTATAAGACATGAGGTTATGCATAAGAAAAAAAGTTTCCTCTCCAAAACGTTCACTGCGTAATAGAGATTATGTCAAATTTATATTCTTCATTGAACTGAAGGATAACTAGGCTGTTAAAGTTATTTAATATAGAAAATGGCAGTAGCACACCAATAAATTGGAAAATGAAGTTTGCTGTGGATACATAAAGTAAAACTATATGTTTAACACTAAGGGAAAGATGGAAACGGTGACGCTAGAGGGGATAAATTGGTGCAAGCACAGCAGCGCATGTATAAGATGCTTGTTCTTTTCCACAGATGTTGAATGTGAGAGTCCTGTTGCGCTGTTCTAACAGTCTGTTGTTTAAATAGGCTTGTTTTTTGTAAAAATGCATGTTGCACCCATAAATCACATGGTGTTATGGAGTTACTACAATCTCTTGCAATAAGTTATTGAAATGTGTTCTGATGAATAGGTTTCAGGACAAGTTGTGCTTTTGGTAGAACTTGGAACGGTTTCCACTGGTTATATGCCTTCAATATTTGGCACTTTTATTCCTTAGAAAATTTATAAATTTTATTTTTATGTATTTGAAGTCTAAAGGAGCTCTAAATAAGAATTTAAATTTATTTTGGAAAAACTGTGGCCATTGTCTGGTAATTGCATATTTCACAATTCTGTTTCAGAATTACTGTTGCGATATAGATTTTTCTATATTGTATCTCTACTATGTGTCTTACTGAGATATTTCTATCTGTCAGTAGTGTGATCTTCCAGTTCAGAGATTACAAGTTGAACATTTGTTTTGGCAGACAATGTGAAAATTAGGAGGAAAATTAAAAAAACGATTTTTGAAGCTGGGGGGAAATATAGGGAAATTATCCCTATAACTCCTATTTAAGTAACTGAACCAAAGAGACATCAGGGAAGAGGTGATGTTGAATAAATCAGTGAGTATATCGTGTTGTAGCAAAGAGTACCATTAGAACGTTGAAACTGCAAAGAAGCAAAATTACTACTGTGCTGCTCATTTTTACTCTGTGAAGAGATAAAGTATAATGATACAGTGCAGAAAATGCACAGAATAACTGAAGTAACTTTATTCAAATAGAAAATCAATTATCAGTTATCACGGTATCAAAAATGTGCTAATCTTATGGGATCTCCAGGAAACCTGGTCAAATTATTTTAAAATTTTATTTCAGCTCATAGTTCATATGGACAGTTAATGTTTCCAACTTCCCATCTTACTGTCTAGTGTCTAAATATTTGCAGCCTTCCTGGTGAAGGAGTGATGAATTAACTATGCGTTCTGGTCTTTTCTACAGAGCAGTTTGTATTATGTGGTATGCTTGGTTCCATTTACACAAGTTGTGTTTTCATCTGAAAACCAAGAATAAAACTTTGTGTGGGTTTCTTTCTGCTTATTTTAGATATCTGCAATATAGAGCTTGTCATTTAAATCTTTGTTTCAGACTGTGGAAGTAAAAAAGCATTTTTGTATATAAATCAGTCAACCTATTTTAGGTGTCTTCTCTAGGAGATAAGTCTAAAAGTGTCTGTTTTTCTTCACTGATGATCAAGGGAACCTAGATGGTTAACCCGGATGTAGATGTCTGCATTTTCTCACATGAATTTCATACAATAAAATATGGATCTGAGCTCATTAAAAGCGGTAGTAGTTTTTGCTGATGGCTTCACTGAGCCAAGATTTCACTTTGATGGTAAAGCTTTTACTTAGTTGAGGACTGTATTTTGTAGAGTAGCAACTAAAAAAAAAAAAAAGAGGCAATATATAGATAAACCGTTGGAGCAACTGACATTGGCTGAAGCTTTGATTGAAATCCTTACATTGAGATGAGCATGCCTGTGCAGTG